TCCATAGAAACAATGGAAGCCAAAAGAAAGAAAACAACTGCCAACATAGAATTCTCTACTCAATAAGTATATCTTTTAAAAAGTAAGGTGAAATAAAAAATATTTTCAGGAAACAAAAATTAAGGGAATTTGTCACCAGCAGACCCTCACTAAAGGAAAAACTAAAAGGAGTTCTTCAGGCAGAAGGAAAATGATTCCAGATGGAAGCTCAGAGATAACAGGAAGTAATGAAGAGCAATGGAAAGGTAAATATGTAGGCAATCTAAATGAATAATGTTTTGTGGGATTAACAACAATGCCATATAGGTTGGGAGGGCAGTAAATGGAGTTAATTTCTAAGGATCTTATATTGTTCATGAAGAAGTAATTTTAGACTATGATAGGTCAGGGTTGTTTGTTTTAATTTGTTACTGTGAATAGACTATGACCATCAAATTAACAGAAAGGGAAAAATTGGACTAATAAACTACAGTCCAAAAGAAGGCAAGAAAGAAGAGAAAAAATATTTATAGTATAGACACAAATAATAAAAATACTTTAAAGAGAAAAAGAATTTAAGGTGTCGGCTCTAAGCTCAGTGGCAGAGCAAGTACATGCAAGTGCAAGACCCTGGGTTTGATCATTGGCATTGGAATAAGGGGGGAGAAAGAAGAAAAGAGAAAAAAAGAGAGAGAGAGAGAGAGAGAGAGAGAGAGAGAGAGAGAGAGAGAAAAAGAAAAAACAAGGCAAAAGAAAAGGATTCAAATCAAAGTATATCCAAGTAATATATCTTAAGTAAAAATGGATTTAATGCTTGAAATAAAACTATATTCAGGGTCTGGGGATATAGCCCAGTGGTAGAATGCTTGCCTAGCATGTATGAGGCCCTGGGTTTGATCCCTCCAGCATTATGAAAAGAAAAGAAAAAAAAAATTTATATTCAAGATTTTATCAGAGGTCCGAAGAAATAAGGAAAGCAAAAGATACCAAAAATGATAAAGATTGGATAAGAAGAAGTAAAGCTATTATTTAGATGCAACATAACTGTGGATATAAAAAATTCAAAAGGTATCTAATAAGCTATTAGAATTGATAAATGAGTTTAAAAAGGATGTTGGATGTAGGTATAGTGATATGTGCCTGGTAGTCCAAGATACTTAGGAGGTTGAGGCAGGAGGATCACTTGAACCTAGGAGTTGGAGACCAACCTGGATATAGAGACACTGTGTTCAAAAGAAAGAAAAAAACCCAAAGCTGTTGGACCAACATAAAAAACAATTTTGTATTTTTTTTTTAAGCAGACACTACACAGAAAATGGGGTTTAAAGAAATCCTTTATAATAGCATCAAAGAACATGAACTTCTAGGGAGTAATAACAACAAAGTATGCGTAAGATCTTTACATAAAACATCGAGAAATTTTCAAGTTCAAGGATTGGAAGAGTCAATGTTGTAAAAATGTCAATTCTTCCCATATTGTTATTTTTTTATCCAATGAAATTCCAGTCAAAATCTCAGAAAAATATTTTTAAAATAAAAAGCTAATAAAATGATAATGAATAAAAATGATAATGAAAAAAAGCTAATAACCAGGATAATCTTAATGAAGATCAAAATGAGAGGACATACTCTAGCAGATGTCAGTACTTATTAAACTACAGCTGTTGAGACAGTACAGTCTTGGTGCAAAGTTATAAGGACCAGACATTGCAGAAATAGATGTATATGAATATTTGATATATGACAAAGGTGGCATTACAGAGCAATGAGGACAGGAATTTCTTAAGTAAATGATACTGGTGAAATTAGATATCTATAATAGGAAAAACATGAAAGTTTATTAATGAATCATCCTCTATACAAAAATGAATCCCAAATGGACTATAAATATAAATATTATACAAATACAATAAAGCTTCTAGAAACAGGAGAAACTCTTCATGACTTTGGAGTTAGGAAGAGTTTTCTGGTCACAAAAAGCACTGAAAAATAAAAATTAACACACTGGCCTGCAACAAGATTAAGAAACTCAGGAAAATTATTAAGAAAATGAAAAGGCAAGCCACTGAGAGGAAGATGGTACTTGAGAAATATAACTGACCAAGGAATTCATGTCCAGAATAAATAATAAATTTCCACAAGTTAATAAGAAAGAGACTGAACATCTATTTAAAAAACAGGAAGAGATTTGAACAAACCCATCATAAAAGATGATATGCAAATGGCCAGTAAATATGAAAGCTATCATAAAAATTGCAGATTAAGAATACAGTGATATAAAATTGAACACTTTCCAGAATAGCTAAAATTTAAAAAGACAATACCAAGTGTTGATGAGGAAGTAGAACAGTGCAAACTATGATACACTGCTGGTAGAATATAAGTACAGCTACTTTGGAAGACTAGCCTACAATGAATTCTAAAGCTGAACATATGCAAAATTTATGACCTAGAAGTTCCATTCCTAGTAACATACTCAATAAAAATATATGTGCATTGGCACTAAAAGCCGTATCAGAAGGTTCTTTGTAACATTATTTGTACTAGCCAAGTGCTGGTAACAACACAAAAGTCTATCAAGGGCAGAATGGATAAATAAATTATTATTTATACAGTGGAATACAGATGTGAAAATAACCAAACCTCAGCTAACATGTAAGAATATCTCAAATATAATATTGAGTAAGAGAAGCTGAATGCAAAAGAATAAATGTTGTATGACTCAATTTTTATGAATTTTAGTCCCTTTCAAAACTCCAATATTTCTGGGCATGGTGGTGCATGCTTATAATTCCAGCTATTCTGGAGGCTGAGGCAGGAGGATTGCAAGTTCCAGGCCAGCCTGGGCAACTTAGTGAGACCCCATCTCAAAATTTTACAGAAGGTCTGGGGGCCAGCGCAATGGCACATGCCTGTAATTCCAGCGGCTTGGGAAGCAGAAGCAGGAGAATCGCAAATTCAAACCCAGCCTCAGCAATTTAGCATGGCCCTAAGCAAAACCCTGTCTCAAAATTTAAAATATTTGAAAAGGGGCTGGGGATGTGGCTCAGTGTTAAGCAGCCCTGGGTTCAATCCCTGCTACCAGGTGCTGGGGATGTAGCTCAGTGGTAGAACGCTTGCCTAGCATGTGCAAGCCCCTGAGTTCATTCCCCAGTAGTGGGGGAAACAATTGTAGTATTAAAAATCAGGACAGTAGTTAACTTTTGGGGAGGTGGGAAGGAATATTAGATTGCTATGGGACATTAGAGAAATTAATAGGTGCTTGCTAATTTTTCATAGATGGTTATGGATGTGTTTATTTTGTGATAATTTGAACTTATGCATATAATTTTTGTATTTATGTATGTTATATATCAATTTGAAAATTGTAAAGGAACCCTTCTGGGATATATAAAATGTGGTGGTTACTAGAATTTATGTAAATACAGTTTTCCATCGCTTTTTTTCTTTTCGTCTTGGCAGAGAGAGCACAGGGTTGGATTTTAATTGAATCTTTGTTCCCTCGTGCATGTGTTCCCTTTAACTACCAGTGGTGTAACTTTGATGATGGATACTGGACAGTGGGGAGTTTTGTTGTAGCAGGAGGATTTCAAGATTGTCACATATGTATTTTTTTGGTGCTGGAGATCAAACTTAAGGCTTTGTGCATGCTAGGCAAATATTCTACCACAGAGCTATACCCATAGCCCCAAGATTGTCATGATTTTAGATTCTTACTGGAGCTTAAGTAGGACTAGAGAAAACCTCTGAAATCAACATGGAAGAAATGATTCCAAGAGTTGTTAACAGTGGTCAGGAGGTAGCAACCTGATTTTAAGTTCTTTTGGCACATTTACTATGTTGTGTAAAACATGATTTCCTCCCAGTATTATTATAAACTTTAGTTGTTGACTCAAGTCCTGACCTTACTACTTGCTAGGTATATACCTTTGGACAATTACTTTCTTTGTTGCCCAGATTCTTTATGTCTAAAGGGAACACTTATTAGTCATACACTGAAAAATCAACAAGACTATTGCATAAACAAAATAACACTGTGTTTGGTACATCATATACTTTAGTCCACAAAATAATATTTGTGAAGGCAGAATCTTTCTGTGGACAAAAGAATTTAGTGTATTTATGCCAGTATTTACTTAAGACAGAATTTTTAACCTCTGAAGTAAAAAGAAGAATTTTTTGTGAATTAATCTTTGTTCTTTTAAAATATAAGGATCCAGCTGGGATACAGTGGTGCATACCTGTAATCTCAGCAATTTGGGAGGCTGAGGCAGGAGGATCCCAAGTTCAAGGCCGGCCTTAGCACCTTAGCAAGGCCCTAAGCAAATGATGAGACCCTGTCTCAAAATAAAAAAATAAAAAGGGCTGGGGACTTAGCTCAGTGGTAAAGCCCCCCTGAGTTCAATCCATAGTAGCAGTGAGATAAAAGCATCCAACCATGTTCTCTCTTTTAGCAGATTTTTATTATAAAAATAAGGATTTATAAGAAAAACTTTAAAATTATCCATAATTATACCACAAATATAAATGCTTCTAAGATTTTGGTGTATTTTCTTCCATTAACTTGTATATTCATTTTAAAACTGTAATTTGAGTTAAAACTAAACATGTGATATTTGCATTTCCCATTTTTTTTGATACGTAACAATTCTCTATGTTATTAAAATTTGTATTATTTTAGATAGCTGTATAATTTTACATCTTAGGGCATATTGTAATTTAAGGATTTCGTTCATGGACACTTAAGAGTTTTCAGTTTTTTTTTTAATTACATAGTGTGATAAGCACTCTTTTGACATCTTATTCACATTTGAGATGATTTCCTTAGGATATATTTAGAGAAATGCAGTTACGGTATCCAAGGGAAAGATAGTTTAATGGTTTTTAGATTTGTATTTTAGAATTGCTCTACAGAGAGGATATCAGTTTATGTCTCTACCAGGAATATATAATTGAATCCACCTTGTGAATTCTTACAAATGAATATTACTCATTTAAAAATACTCACTTTTTCTTTATAGCATTTGTTCAGTGCTCAGCACAGAAGCTTGACCAGACAGAGTAGACGTCGGATATGTACCAGTAGTTTGATGGAACGTTTCTTGCAGGACGTACTGCGACATCACCCATATAATTATCAAGAGAACAGGTAAGGTAGCTCAGTGGAATAATAGTATCACATAGTTTTATGATACAGTAGTTGTCTCTGTTAATGCTACTACTACTACTGTTGTTGTTGTTGTTATTATTATTATTTTGTGTGGTACTAGGGATCGAATGGGATTGAATGCAGGGGCTCTACCACTGAGCTGCACCTCCAGCCCTGTAGTGAAATTTTTTACTTAAGCCAAAAAGAAGTAAAAATTGCAAATGGACATCACTAGACAAAATTTCACTACAGGGCTAGGGTGCAGTTCAGTGGTACAGTGCTTACCTGGTATGCATGAGGCCCTGGGTTCAATTCCCACCACTGCAAAAAAGGTAACAAAAAATTTCCCTATAGGAGATAGGGACTATACTATGCTTTTTCCTAAATGTTTTTGGCCAACAAATAATTATATATCATTAAGTTTTTAATATGTGTCTCATAGGATTAAATAGGGATAAAAAGGTGAGCAAAAATAGTTCTTAAAAGATTAGTAGCAGAAATTATGTCATTTGTAGGGATGGAACTTTGAGACCATTATGTTAAGTGAAAAAAGTCAGAATGTCAGAGGTTGTATTTTTTCTCATGTGTGAAAGTTATAAAAAATGAAAATAAAGGTGGGGTGTGTTTCATGAAAATTAAAGGGAAATAAATAGAATAGAGGAAAGGAACCCAGGGATGGAGGATGGCTGGGAAAGGAGAAATACTGGGGAATGATATTGATCAAATTATATTGCTACATTGTGTGCAAGTATGAATATGTAACAACAGATTCCTCTAGTACTTACAACTGTAATGCATCAATAAAAGATTTTGGGAAAAAAACATTAGCACCAGAAAACCTGGGTGACAGCAGAGTAAGAATAGTCAAAGTAAAAAACTAAGTAAATTTCTACATTAATGGAACTGTTTGCTAACTCTGAGAAGAAGAGGTATCAAATAGAATTGTCTCCTTTTATGATCTTAACATTGATGGCTTGTCTTACATCAGTTTGTTTTGGCTGTTTTAATAAAAATAAATAGTTTGGTAACATGTCCTATGTAAAAGAAAAACATTGGTAGAAAGAAAAGAGGTTAAGCTGAATGTGGTGGTATAATCTGAGAAAGTCGGAAAATTGAGGCAAAAGGATTACAAATCCAAATGCAGCTTGGGCAATTTAAGCAAACTTTACCACAAAGTAAAAAAAAAAAAAAAAAAAAAATAAGAGCTAGGAATGTAGCTCAGTGGTAGAGCCACCCAAGGTTCAATACCCAAGACAAGAAAAAAAAAAGAAAGAAAGAAAGAAAAAAGAAAAGAAAATCAGATAAAATACCATAGTGATTTTTCAGCTCTAGTTGTAGAAGACAAGGTAAGATAAATATTAGCACACCTACAAAATTAGCTGAGATGCACACCACTGGTAGAAAAAGTGATAAACTTCTGCTTTGCAAGACACTAACCCAGAAATGGTGAAAATGTTTTAGTAGAGAATTTCTTCTTAAAATCTATTTTTTTTTTAAGCTGGTGGAAAGATAGACTATCCTGGGTCAAATGTGAGTGTTTCTAGTTTACAACTCTCTATTTCTATGGTTTAAATTCCTGGAATTTGAACTTCGAGGTCAGATTATATGGACCTTAAAAAAGTCTTTATTTTTTTAACTTTTCACTATGGAATAATTTCAGGCATACAGAAACATTACAAAACTGGTACAAGAAATTCTCATATTTACCCAGCTTCTTATCTTATGTATTGTTTATTCATATACTTTGCCCAGTTTTCTATTGTTTCTATACTTTGAATCTGCAAGCAGTATTTAAATATGGATGATAGTTCTTTTTTTGATAATAGTTCTTTGTATTTTAAATATGTTACTAGTATTTTCTTAGAATCTGTTTTTTGTCTTTTAACTGTACATGCTTTTATTCTTTCTTTCCTATATGGAAATGCAACTTTTTTTTTTTCCTTTTTTCTGGTGCTGGAATAAAACCTATGGGTGTTCTACTACTGAGCTACATCCTTAGTCTATATTATTTTATTTTTGAGACAGAGTCTTAAGAAATTTCCAAGACTGGCCTCAAACTCGAAATCCTTCTGACTTAGCCTCCTGAGTAGCTGGGATATAGGCTGGCATCACTACACTAGACAAATTAAATATTTTAATATAATCAGGTCTAAGGAAAAATTTCCTTTGTGGTTTCTTTTTTATATTTTTTCCTTAATGTCCTGGTTTCTTCTTTTAAATATTTTAAATAATCCTAGAATTTGTTTTTATATGGGGTATGAGGCAGGACTTAATTCTTTTATAAATGTATTTCTAATTTATACTGATATAAAATGTCATCACACCTGTAATATCTAATTTCTGCATTTTGTTTTGTCTCTGTATGTATGTATGTGTGTGTACATATACATAATATCTGATATCTCTTTTTTTTTTTTTTTGAACTGGGGATTGAACCCAGGGCTTTGTGATTGCAAGGCAAATGCTTTGCCACTGATCTATATCCCAGCCCACATATCTGATCTTGAATACCACTTTGTCCCCTCAAGTTTTCAAAATCCATGTAGGTATTACATTGTTTGTTTTTATTTTTTTCTAAATTATAGAGTTTATAGTTTCTTTATTTTTTTTCTGTCTTTCTAGAGACATTGTAGATTTCTTTATTAGTCTTTCTAAAAATTAGCTCTAGCTTTAGTTTTTTTCTTATTTATTAGTTTTTCTTTTTTCTTAATTTATTTCACTTTACTTTTTGGTAGTGGGGATTAAACTCAGGGGCACTTAAACACTGAGCCACATCACCAGCCCCCTTTTTTGTACTTTATTTAGAGACAGGGTCTCACTGAGTTGCTTAGGGCCTTGCTAAAGTTGTTGAAATTGGCAGTCCTCCTGCCTCGCCTCCAAGCTGCTGAGATTACAAGTATGTGCCACTGCACCTGGCTTATTTTCCTTTTTACTAGGGTAGTTTGGTGTTCTTTTTCTATCTTCTTGAATTAGATGCTCACTTAATTTGTGTTTAATAATTCTTTTATTATGCAGGAGGACTTAAAAGTACATTTTCATTTTGGCAATACCTCACAGCTTTTGATATATAATTGTTTTATTGATAGTTAAATAAATCATTTTTAGCTCAATAGTTACATAAAAGCTTTATATGACTTTTTTAATACCTTTATGTAATTTTTTCTTTATTATCTTCAGTCTTAGATTTTTGGAGAGCTTTTTCTGGTATAGAGTTAAATTACAAATAACTAGAAATATGGGTTATGATTTAGTTGAAAATTTTAATCCCACAATTATAGAAGCAAATCAAAAGATGTAGATAGCAGTTTCTAACCTTTTTGGAATTTTTATCAATTTTTAAAAGTTGTGTGATTCTTCCTTCTCTCCCTCTCCTTACTTTCCTGTTCTGTTTTAAAATTATATTTTTAGAACAGTGATAGTTGTGATAGTCCTTAAGAGAAATGAAGATAGTCTAGTGTCCTGAAAAACTAAGGTAAAAATTTTTATTGCGCTGTAATCTCATTGATTATTATTATTATTATTTAAATATTTGTTTTATTAGAGTTCAAAAGTATGGAAAAAAATTTTTTTGCCCCATCATATTATTTTGATGTCAGGGTTAACTGTTTTATTTTTTAAATCCCAAATTAATATTAAATAAGATAATAATTTTATTTGGGAATGGGAAATACTTTGTTAAAAAAAGGACAGTTGTATGTTGTTGGTACATATGCTTGTTAGGCAAACATGGCATTTTTCAAATTGTAAAATATTTAATAAAAGTTTTAGGATTTATTTTTTTACTTTCAGTTATTTCTGATTTTTGTAGACATTGTGTGTTGCTGGGACTCTACAGATTATTTTTTAAAACAGCATTAGATATATAGAAAAATCGAGAAGATATACAGAGTTCCTATAGTAGTCCCCTCATTTAGTTTCCTTAATGTTAAAGTCTCACATTAACCATGTACATTCTGATATTAATTAAAGTCACTGTTTGTTTATGTAACCTTAATTTTAACCTAAATTAAGTTTTCTAAATAAGATTTTCTTTTTTTACCTCTTTTTCTCTTTGAGAATCTCATCTAGAATACTGCCTTACATTATTTTTTCATGTCTCCTTAAGCTCCTTTTGGCTCTTGTAGTTTAATCTTTTTTGTAGATCTAGATATGGTGACTACTTATCATTTTGAATTACAGTGATTTTCTGTAATACCTTCTGCCACTACTTGAATGCTCCTTGAAAGGCAGATAGATCATCTTTCTTTGAATTTCCTTTAACATAGGATTTATCACATAGTAGAAAGTCCTTGGGAGATGGTTGTTTTATGACTGGATTTTTGCCTTTTTAAGAATTTAGAAGATGGTATAGATCAGTTGCTTATAAATATGAAAGAGCGATTACTAATATGTTCTGAGTCCTGATGCTAGTAAAAAGATTCCTTGGCTGATTTTAGGTACAAAATTTTAGGACTTTTAAAAAATAATTTAAATATTTGAATGGGAAATGTGTATACAGAGGCATAATTCAAAAGTGACTCTAAAGCCAGGTGTGGTGGCACATGCCTATAGTTGTAGCTACTTGAAAGGTAGAGGTAGGAAAATTGACCCCAGGGGTGAGAGACCAACCTGGGCAACATAGCAAGACCCATCTCAAAAAAAAAAAGTTTTCCCCCCACAGGTAACAAGTAGATACCATTTTCGTATCTGCCCTCTCTAAACATATTCCAAGTGTATTGTCTCTCCTCCCCATTTTAGTGTTAGCATTATAATATTTAGTGTTCTAGGTAGACTTAATTTGATTTTCAGTAACAATGCTTATAGTGATTGATTTTTATTAGTACACATAAAGCTGCCTTTATTTTTTAAACTTACATTGTTTTATTAAAAACCATTAATTATTTAACCAGTACCCAGTTGATGAGTGGATCCACTCATCAGGAGACTATCATGCTAAGTGAAATAAGCCAATCCCAGAAAAACCAAAGGCCAAATGTTCTCTCTGAAATGTGGATGCTAACACAACAAGGGGTTGGAGGGAAAAATAGAAGTTCATTGGATTAGACAAAGGGAATGAAGGGAAGGGAGGGGAGATGAGAATAGGAAAGACAATAGAATGAATCAGACATAACTTTCTTATGTTTATATATGAATAAATGAGCAGTGTAACTCCACATCATGTTCAACCAAGAATGGGATCCTAATTAGAATAAGTTATGCTCCATGTATGTATGATATGTCAAAATACACTCTACTGTCATGTAATCTGAAAAGAACAAATAAAAAAATAAATTACAAAATTTTGAAAAAGGTGGATCCACTGGGTGTGGTGGCACATGCCTGTAATCCCAGCAGCTGGGGGAGCTGAGGCAAGAGGATCTTGAGATCAAAGCCAGCCTCAGCAAAAGTGAGGCACTAAGCAACTCAGTGAGACCCTATCTCTAAACAAAATAACAAAATAGGGCTGGGGATGTGGCTCAGTGGTTGAGTGCCCTTAGTTCAGTCCCTGGCAAACCTCCTCCCCCCAAAAGGTGGATCTGTTGGTTTGCTATTATCAGAAATTAAAATAAAGAGTGAATACTCATATATTCCTAATTAATTAAACACATGAGAAAACCAGTAGGGGAATTACTAGATCAGAGGGAGTATACACTTAAAATTTTAATTGACATTCCTACATTGCTCTTTGTAAAGGTTACCAGTCAGAAAAGGTTAACCAATAATCTGAAGTTAACTTATCTATTCCTACCAACAGTGTATTGAAGTACCCTTGTCAAAACAATAATTTAATAATAGTTGACATTAGTGAATCCTTGCAAATGTGCCAGCTTTTTTCTTTTTAAATGCTCTTTACACATAATGGCTAATTTACTCCTCAAAATGGTCTCATGAGAAAAAATAATATTATTCCATTTTTTAGAGGTGGAATCTGAGGCATATAAGGTTAAGTAATTTGTGTCAAGTTTTCTGCTATTTACTTCTCTAATAAATGACTAAAAAATGAGATGTGGTTTAATTTGCATTTCTTTCTCATGTGAGGGAGCCATTTTTGTTTATTAAATAGGTTCTTCTTTGAAACAATTACTTCCCTGAAGCACATGCAATATACTGTTTAGTGTAATTGCCTTGATTCTTTGTCCTTTAAGAATTGCCTAAAGTAGAAAGAAAATAACGCTTACTATTGCATATTTTTTTCCTTTTTTTTTTTCTTTTTTAGAGGAACACAAAATGAGATGTCTATGAATGCTGCATCACCTGAAGTGGTTCATTTGGAAGATTTCTTTTCTGAAGAATATGCTCAGGACACTCCTGAAACCATAGAAGAAGAAACACTCTCTGAGAGTTCTGATTCTGTTGAAGAGTTGACTTCTGAACCTAGTGATCAGTCACAGGAGCCTGTAAGGGAGATATCAATTCGACCATCAGTTATTCAAAAACTGGAGAAGGGACAGCAGCAGTCCTTGGAGTTTGTTCCTAAAATTGAGAGTGGTGGTATGAAAAGAATAAATCCAGTAGATATTGGTCAAGCTACAAATAGTGGAAAAAATCCAGTACGTCCCCCAGTGATTTGTAATGCTCCTGCCAGTTGTTTACCTGAGAGGTCTTATGATAGGCCAGTTGCGACTACTACTGCTAGGTTACCACTAGCAGTCCACTTGGATTCAGTTAGCAAATGTGACCCAAACAAAGCTCACACACACCTTGAACAGCTAGACATGGTCTCTAGAAATCCTGTGCCATCAGCCCTTGTAGGAACTTCAGTTTCATATAAGAATCCTAAAGAATCAAATAGGAAACCTTTATGTGTAAATTCAGATAAGTTGGTTTTACAGAAAGAAGTAAAATCTCAGGGTGAATTGTCACCTGGCTTTAAATTCTGTGAACTTAAGGGTACTGAAAATTCTGTAAGAGTTAAATCTTCTTCCAGATTAGCATCTAACTTGGCAGGAAATCTGAACAAAACTGACAAGCCTTCTGATAGAGGAGTCTTTGGAGATGCCATTCCAAAGCACCATGAGGAATTTCTTTCAAATATGGATTGTAGCCAAGAAGAAGAGCATTTGGTTTTTAAGAAGTCATCATTTTTGAAACAAAAGTTCTCACTGAGTTCCGAAGTGAAGTTTGATTGTGGTCCTCTTCAGTCAGCAGCTGATCAATCTCAAGAGGCTGTCCAAGACTTAAACCTTTGGAAGGAAGAGCGAGTTGACCAAGAAGATGAGAACTATGAATCTAGAGATTCTGAAATGAGTTTTGATTGTGATTCCTCCTGTCATTCACTGACTGATCAATCTGAAATGTCTGATAGAGAAATAAACCTTTTAGAGGAAACACATGCTGATTTAACACATAAGAATAAGAAATCTTGTGTTTCTGAAAAAATTTCTGATCGCAGTGATTCTCTTCAGGCAGTTACCAGGCAATCACAAGTGATTGTTAAAGAAGAAGGTCTTCAGAATACAGCGCGTATTAGCCTGGTTGATGAAAGCTATGATACTAGTGGTTCTGAAATGAATTCTGATTATGATGAAGACTTCCCTCAGTCAGCTAAAAAGTACCGCCAACAGCCTGTGAAAGAAGTAGACCTTCCTCAGGAGGTTCACATTAGTTTGGTTGATAGGGACTATGGATGGACTAGCTCTGAATCAAGTGCTGATTCCATTTTCTCACTTGAGTCAGTGGTTGATGAGTCCTCAGTGGTTGTTACAGAAAAACAAGTTTGGAAGAAGGCTCATGTTAGGTTGGTTGATGCAAGCTATGGATCCAGTTGTTCTGAATCAAGTTTTGATTGTGATGCTTCACCTCAGTTAGTAGTTGACCGACCTCAAATGACTGTCAAAGAAAAAAAACTGAAACACAGACACGTCCACCTAAAAAATAAGAAACGTAAACCCAGTCGTGCTAAAGCACATCTTGATTTTGGTGTTTCTCTTGAGACAGTGGCTGATGAACCCCAGAGGGCTGTTGAAGAAAAAAATCTTCTGAAAGCGAAGAATGCTGACCTTGTGGATATGAACTGTGAGTCTCATGGTCCTGAAATGGGTTTTCATGCTGATGCTCAATTAGTGGCTGATGAATCTCAAGTAGCAGTTAAAGAAGTAAACCCTCAGAAAGTAGATAATGACCTAGAGAATAATAAGAGTATTCCATCTAGCATTTCTTATCTAAGTTTCGATTCTCATGCTTTTTTTTATCAGTCAGCTAATGATCAACCTCAAGGGGCTTTGGGTGAAGTAAATCTTAAAGAGTTAAATGTCGACATGGAAGTTAAGAGCTATGGGTGCTCCAGTTCTGAGTTGACATTTGATTCCGATTCCCCTCTTCTGTCAGTTACTGAGCGGTCTCAGCTGGATGTTGAAAGAATAAAAGAAGATCACATTAACCTGGAAGATGAGAGCTGTGAGTCAAATAGTTCTGACATAACTTTTGATTCTGATATTCCTGATTGCTCAGTAGTTGACCAACCTGAAGTAGCTGTTGGTGAGGAGGAACCTGTTGATCTGGAAAATAAAAGTAATGAATCTTGTATTTCTGAAATAACTTTTGATTCTGATATTCCCCTTCATTCAGGAAATGATCATCCTGAAGTAGCTGTTAAAGAAGTAATCATTCAGGAAGAAGAATACGTACATTTAGAAAGGAAGAATGACAAACTCATTGATTCTGAAATAAATTTGGATTCTTATGCCCCTCTTCATTCAGTGACTAATCCTCCTGAAGTAGCTGATAAAAAGCTAAATCCTCAAAGAGAAGAGCAGGTACTCTTTAAAAATAAGGAAAATGAGCCTGCTGATTCTGAATTAAGTTTGGCTTATCATACCATTTTTCCTTCAATGACTGGACATTCTGAAGATCCCTTTAAAGACATAAACTTTGAGAAAGAAGTGCATGTACCCTTTGAAAATAAGACTAATGAATTAAGTGCTTCTGAAACAAGATTGGATTCTGAAATCCCTCTTCAGTCAGTGATTCGGAAACCCACAGTAGTTGTTAAAAATATATGGCTTCAAAAAGAAAAGTATGCTGAATTCCAAGATAAAAATGCTGAACTTACTGATTCTGAAATAAATTCAGATTCTGATATTCCTCATTATCCTATGGCAGAACCTCAAGTAGCTGTTAAAAGAAAAGAGAAAAGGAAGCATATTGTAGAAAAGAGTCATTATCATGGTGATTCTGAACTACTTTTCAGTTCTGAGATCCTTCCTCAGTCAATAGCTGAAAAACCTCAGTCAGCTATTTTGGGGAAGGATCATGTTAAGCCAGAAGGTCGAAGTACTGTACTTAAAGGTTTTGGAATAAATGTGAATATTGATGCCTCTCTTCATTCAATCACTGACCAACCTCATCTGGCCCTTTTGAAGGAAAAACATGTTGATCTGAAAGATGAAGGTAGCAAACCTAGTACTTCTAAAATACATTTCAATCCTGTTGACCCTCTTCAGACACTACCTAAACGTCCTGAAGTAATTAAGAGCACAAACCAATGGAAGGAAGAGACTATGTACCTGGAAAATAAGATTGATGAACCTAGTGGTTCAAAGGCAGTGCATAATACTGATATTTCTCTTCAGTCTACAGTTAACCCACCTGAAGTAGCTATTAAACAAGTAAACCTTGCGAGTGAAGATCAAATGTATTTGGAAAGTAAGAATAGTCAATATAATTCTGAAAGAAGTTTGGATTCTGATTTCTTGGTTCAGGAAGTAGTCAGTCGACCTCAAATAACTACTGTAGAGCCAGAGCACTTTGAAGTAGAAGGCAAGCACAGTCAGTCTTGTGATTCTGAAGTAAGTTTTGATTCTGATGACTCTCTTCAATCAGTGGCTGACCAGCTCGGGGAAACCGTTAAAGAAATAAGTCATTGGAAGGATGAAGACATTGACATGGAAGATAAGAGGGATGAAGCCAAGAGTTTTAAAACTATATATGATTCTGATGTACTTAAGCCAGTAGCTGACCAAACTGAAGAAGTAGTTCCAGGGATCAACCTTTGGAAAGAACATGTTGACTTTGGAGATAAAATTGTTACTCCTAGTGACAGAGTGACAGAAAAGAAAATAAATTTTGATTCTGACAAAACTCTTCAGTCTGTGACTAAAATTCAAGAGCCTGCTAAAGAAATAAATCTTTCAAGAGAAGGACATGTTTGTCTGGATGATAAGGGCTATGAACCTTGTGGTTCTAGAATAATTTATGTTTCAAATATCCCCTTTCAATCAGTGATTCAGGGACCACAAATTTTGGAAGAGAGGCCTGCTAATTTGGAAGTTAAGAACAGTGATCCTTGTGGTCCTGAAATACGTTTTGATTCCAGTGATTCTTGTCAGTCAGTGGCTGGCCAGTTGCAAAAATCTATCACAGAAATCAGTCTGAAGGAAGACCATATTTACCTGGAAGATAAGAGCTATAAACTGGTTGATTGTGAGGCATGTTATGATTCTGATGTTCCTGTTCAGTTTGTAGCAGATCAATCTCATGTGTCTGTCAAAGAAATAAACTTGCAAAAGGAGGATCAAAATGACCTAGAAGATAACAACTACACACCCTGTTGTTCTGAAATAAGATGTGATTCTGGTGTTCATCTGCAGTCAGAAGTTGACCCGTCTCAAATGACTTACAAAGAAACAACCTTTCAGAAGAGAGAGCTGCTTGGCATGGAAGAAAAGTCCAGCGAACCAAGTGATTCTGAAATGATGTCTGATTCTGATGTGTCTTTTCAAATAGTAGTTAACTCATCATCCCAAACATCAGATGGAGAATCAGATTCTCCACCAGTGGTGTTTGTGGATGTGATGGCCAGTGATAGTGATTGTGACCGTGAAGTAATATCTGATTCTAATGTTCCTCTTGAGTTAGTGACTGACCCACCTCCCATGACTATCCCAGAAACCAGCTGTATAAATACAGAGTCCATTGATGTTGGAAATAACTACTGTAACTACTGTGGTTCTCAACTAAGAAGTGTTTTGGAAGCCTCTTCTCACTCAGTGGCAAGCCAACCCAAGAAGTCTTTCAAAATAATAAACCGGAAGAATGACTATATTATTCTGGGAGACTCAACTTGTCAGTCTTGTGGTAATGAAATAGATTTTAGTGGTGATGCCTCTGATCAGTCCATGACTTACCAGTCACAAGGACCTGATAGAAGTATTGACTCAGAAGATAAGAGTTGTGAATATAATCGTACTGAAAGAAATTTTAATTTGGAAAGCAGTACTCAATCAGTGACTCATCAAGTACAGCAAACTGACAAGGAAGACAACCTTTGGAAAGATCAAAAAGATAAAAGCTGTGAGTCTAATGTTTCTGCAGCGGGCTCTACTTCCTCTTCTACATCAGTGATCCGTCAAACGACAGTTAGAAAAAGTGCTTTAAAGTCAAAACGTAGAGATCAAGAAAGTTGTAAATCTTGTTTTGAGAGGGGTTTTCAGTGTGATCCCTCTCATCATTCTGACTCTAACCAGCCTGGAGAAGCTGTTAAAAAACGCCCAGTTAAGAGGGTAACTTTTGACTTAGGAGAAAAGAGTCGTGATTCCCAATCAGGCTCTGCCCCCAAGACTGGTTCTGGAAGGAACCTGGGAAAAGACAAGGTCATGGATGATCTTGATGCACCAGTTATTGAGGCCTTATCACAGATACTTCCTTCATCTCTGGGAAGAAAGTGGTCTCGAATAATAAGAGGAAATCACTCAAAAATTAATGCCCTTATGAAGGATTTTAAGGAAGGTCATTTCCGCTGTTACTTTAATAATGAAGCTAAGACCCAAATCATTACTTTGTATAAAGAAAGATACATTGCCTGGCCTATCTTTAATCAAACCACTGCATCCGTTCAAACTGTGTCAAGTTTTGAAGATATTGCAGGTGGATTTTCAGACATTGATGACTGTGTAGTGGCTGTAGAGAAACCAAACTATCATTATCCTCTAGCAAAGAGGCTTCTTTCTAAACAGAATTTGTTTGTGGCTTCTCAGAGCCAGATAGAAAAAGTTAGCCATGGAACTCAAACCAGTTTTATAAGTTACCCATTGAAGAAAAGAAAAATAGTTAGACTAGAGGTAGAATCACCCAAAAAAAAGTGTGTGCAGAGTGACGGAAAAGAGAGAAAAATCATCAAAATTGGAACAATTGAATTGCCCGGAACACAAATTAAAGTTTTGGAGCCTGGACAATCCAAACCTGTAATTCGTATTCTTACTTCTATAAATATTAAACCGAAGGAAGATGAATCCTGCGACTCACCTAAAGCGAACCATTGTGTTTGTGATAATGATCTACAGTTTCTGTGCAAATATAAACAGAGTAACCATAATTGCCCATCACTTCTGAAAATTGTAAATAATTTTCCATCAAACGTGGTAATATCAGAGTCTGACATATGTTGTAAATGTCACATTCATCATGAGAGTGACTTAAACTTTAGTGAGGGAGACAATGATGCTGTACAAAACCATGTTTCAATATCTCAAATGATAATACCAGCAAGATATGAATTGAGGTCACGTTGTAGGACCAGTGAATCTTCTACATTTCTAGAAACTTCAGAGGTTGTAAATGCTAGTGAGTTTCCAGAGGAAGGTAGTTTCCAGCTAACTCTTTTAAGTCGTGATGTTGCCAAAATCTCTCCAAAACCAGTTAAATATGAGTTTTTTGAAAGTAAAAGGAAAAAGAAAATTCAAAGAAAGAATGTTATGAGAAACCCAAGCTTTCCCAAAAAGGTGTTTAAAGCAGTTATTCTCCGTCAGAATGCCAGAACAGCTTCAGAAAAATGGTCAGTTTGGATTCGGACCAAAGCAAATGACATAATTAGAAAATATATTTCAAAATACTCTGCTTTTCTGCGTCGTAGGTACCAATCCAGGGCCACTTTATTTAGAATGCATCTTAAGAAGAAAAAATCAGGTGCCAGTAGGCTAGAGGAGGTGGATAAATCAACTCAAACACCTTCGGACACCTCAGTTACACCAGCTGGTGCTAAAGAGAAGTTAAGGGCTATCGTGAGTCCTCTGAAGCAGCCTGCGCAGCGCACTTCCCGTGCTGTAGGAAGACGTGCTGGAAGAAGAAGTGCTGTAGGAAGAAGAAGTGCTGTAGGAAGAAGTGCTGTAGGAAGAAGTGCTGTAGGAAGAAAGAAGGCTAAGAGAAGGAATCGCCGCAAAAAGAAAAGGCCTATACCTGTTAGAGAATATGATTTGAGAAGTTCGTGTTACATACCAGATTCTGATAGAATGGTGACTCGGCTTGCAAGCAAAATGAAAAGTAATGAGGTAAAATAGAAATTTTTGTGTTATGTCTAGTTGAGGATTCAGTACTTCAATTAAAATACATTTGGTACTTCAGTGCACATAGCTTTCCCAACTTTGGTGGGAAAACTAACCTTAAACTATTTTGCTATAGATATTATTTTTCAGAACTTTTATATTCATTTAAAATTAGTGTTTAGGGTCCTTTTTTTTATTTTAAAGATTCAGAAGCAACTTTTGTCCAACATTTTCTGTAGAAGAGCTTCATCTTAATTTGTCATGATATAATTTAGCACAGTATATAGAATTTTGTCCCTCAATATGTCCTTCTTATTTATTTTTTTTTATGATCTTTCTTGTGCAAGAAAGTTATAACATTAGGAGAATGAACATAAAAAACTTATTAATGCCATCTTTTAAAAAATTGAGACAAATGCATAAATACTTACATTCTATATCAGAGAAGCATTGTCAATACAGTATTCTAACTGGATAATTAGAAAGAAGGAACTATAATGAGTTATCTCAGCTTTTAAACAGGGTTGACTTAAAACTATCACAAAATATAATTTATCTTTCTCTTAAAAGCATTCCGGAGAATGAGATTCGATAATCTTCAGTTTTAAAAAGTGCCTGGTGATTTTATAGATACAATACAAATTCCTTCTGCTTCATTTAAATTGGATCTGCAAGTCTGTAACTTTCCTCATTTGGATATGGACTCATAGTCTCCTCTGTAGCATTATTAGATCTTAAGGGGAAAAAATTTTACTAGCATGATTAGGCTTTTTAACCACCTTTACTCCCTTTTACATAAAAGGTTGGTGGTTTGATATAAAAACTAGTTAATTTTATGGCCTATCCCTTTAAAATATCTTATACATTACTACCTACCACTTTTAATAACTTGAACTGAAATTATTGGCTTGTTAATATTATTTGGGGAGGCCATTAATTATTTGCTTTAGTAAATTACTTAATATTTCAAAAAATTGAATAAAACTGGTAACCTAAATGGAGGCCCATTTTGCAAGTGAAAAACTAGTACATCAGTTTATCTTAAACTATCAAATCAATTATCCTACACTATCTAATTAGATAATTGATTTGATAGTTTATCTTTAACTGATTTTAATAGATTAAAAGATGTGAAGATACACAGCATAAGTCTAGGATACTTGAGCATATTCATATCCTTTATTCAGGAACATTGGTTAAGCTGGAACAGATGAATCCAGTTATCCTATTAAGCCAAGATCCTGAATCTCTTTCAGTCATTGATGTTAAGGGGAAACATGATTTCACCTATATTGTGTAACTACTATATTTTATTGAAACTAGAGTCAGTGTTAAGATGTGTCTTGATTTCAGAGATTAAAAAATGTGTTACCTTAGAATTAATGAACTATAAATGTGGTTTTGTTTCAGGGGCCATTATTTAACCTGTGGGTGTGTTATGATGGTGTTTTGATGTAATTTCTTTACTTCTAAATTTAAAACATAATTATGTTGAAAAAAGTGGACAAATGTGGTGTATCTTTTCGTTGCAAAGCAACATAGATAGCATTTCTTCAACCTTGCCTCATTATATACAAACATTTTAATTTCCTTTCTTAAAATATCACTGTGAGCCTCTAGTTCACAATCATCCTCCAAATTTAATTTAGAAAGAAAGCTCTGTCCTACTGATTAGGAAGTAAACAAACACCCAATATGTGAAAATACTCAGATTAGGTACTGATGTCTTTTTTCTTTATGGAATAGACACTTTGCTCCCTTAGGTACTATCAATAGACATTCTTTGAGTGTAAGTTTAAAAGCAAGAATTCATGTGGAAATAATGTGAGATGTAAATATGACAAATTGTATCTGTTGTGATTACATCATAGGGAGAGGCGAGTGATCAAGAATAAAAGTTAAAAAAAAATGTTACTACCTTTTACACATTAGAAGCTAGTCTAAGTACCATTTTAAGGGACAAAAGTAAAAAGGTTTTTATTTAAAATATACATTTCTAAAAGTATAAACACTACAACACTGATGATTTTGTTTAACATCTTGGAAGTATTTACTAAGTTCTTATTATAACCATCATTATTTTAGGCAAGCTTGAAAACTTGATATTGTAAAAATTATTACTTGAGTTAAATTGGAAATGAATTGCTTTCAGAATTTGATAGGATACAAGATGTGCCCCTTTGTCTAAATAAATGTTGGCTTAATTTGCAGATTATATAAAACAATTGGTGATTTTGTGTAGTCACGAATGCATTATATTCTTTTCATAGTAAAGAGTCAAATTACAACCATAATGAATATTTTATCAATCTTGTCCTTTTTCAGTATCTTGCATAGATTTTTATTGTAATTGTCCTGAGTTATACAGTATGTGGACAATATTGTGTAATGTGTGTTTTTGCATTTGTGCATTTAAATTATTTATGTAACTAGGGCTCTGAGTAACACTTTTTTTTTGCTTAAAGAAAAGCTATATTTAAATATTCAAATAATTATATATTTCCATGTAAAACTAATGTGAAGACTAATGTATTTTTTATAATGCAATTTAAAGTGTAAACTTGTTTTTGAAGTTATCAAGATAAAATTTATTAAATATTGAAATTTGTGTCTACTCTCTCCTCATATTAGAAGCCTTTCTGGAAAAACTTAAAGAATCAGAGAACAATTAAAACAGAAGTACTTTTTATAAATGGTCTGAGAGATATTAAATAAGAGATTATAAATGTTGATGCTGGTGAGAAAATAGTTAACCAAAGATACACAGATTATATTCAAAATAGTGATTATTTCAAAGGATTAAAATTAAACAACCATTTATTTATCTGATAGAATGGTGGATTAGCAACTTTTCTCTCTGTTTACCTGTATTGAAAGTGCTCATGAATAGGATTGAGTTCAGGAGTCATTTTACGTTTATTGTTTGACGCCTACTGGGAAGGGAAAAATTTAGTGCCTCCAATACCATAGCCTATATTATAAAAGACAATGTACATATGTCAGTGAAGTAGATGCTTTTGGCCCCAGTTAAAAAAAAATTACTGTCAAGTCTTTCAGTAAAGACTTTCATGTGTAGAAAATACCGAAAAATCTTGTAATTGTGAAATTACATGCCAAAATGTCAACTTAAGAAGATGTAGGGAAGGAAAGGAGACTAGGTACAAGTCTCAGTATTTCCTTGTCCTTATCCTTATCCTAATATCCAGAATTACAAGATAATTTAGTATGTTTTCCTTTGCTCTTATTCCTTATATATGTGTATTTTAAAAGTTCTCCCAAAATATTTTAAGCTATTTATCTTAAGGAATAGGTCTAGGATTTTTTGTTGCTGAATGTTTATTATACTTTCTTCTGTGTTTTTAATTTATTGTATTCATGTTGTGATAAATTTCTTTCTAGTTTTATTTATTTTAATACACTTTTAAATAAGCCTGGAAAGAAATTTATTTTCCAGATTCTCAAGCTGTGCATACATCTTGAGCCTTTCCTCAGTGCAGCTCATTGTTCTAAGCTTATTATCTCATTCGCTCTTTAAAGAACCCTTATTGAGATGCTATAATTATTACTATTAGATGAGAAAATCGAGATATAGTTTATAGTTAATCTCCCCTTCACACCCCCAGTTTTAGGCCACCACTATTCTAATTTCTGTCTTTATAGTTTTGCTTTTTCTGGACATTTCATATAAATGGAACCATATGTAGTCTTTTGTGTCTGCCTTCTTTCATTTACCATGATATTTTTGAGGCTCATCTGTGTTATAGCATGTGTCTCTATTTTGTTTCTTTCTATTACTATATAGTATTAAGAGTTAGTTTTTAATGAAGCCAGTAATGGTCTCCTGATAACAATTATGATAAGTCCATTAGATATGAGGCTAGCTGTTCCCTTTATGCCTCTTAATATTTGCTATAATTGATTAATCACCAAATCCAAGCCCAGATTTGACAGTTGCTTTTTTTGAGTGATTTTTATCCCACATTTCAATGCTCTATGCTTCTTTTACTGACCATTTGGTCATTTTTTTTCCCTGTGCTCAGTGAATTTGAATTTTCAGTGTCAATATATTACCTCATGTCCTCAATCCTTTCATGATGGATTGCTTACAGGTAACTGAAATTTGATAATCATATCCAAGTTGCATATTCTAATCCACATATGCCACAGAACCAGAAAGTGTTCATGGTGTACTAGTTGTGGTGAACACTCTTTTTAAGTTACTCTCCTACATACTTACAATACATACCATCAAAATTAGGAAATCAACATTGATCTGATATAACCATCTACTCTACAGACCTTATTCAGATTTTACAGATTGTCCCAAAATGTCCTCTGTAGGTCCTGGATTTGATTCAGGATTGAAAACTTCATGGTTCTTTAGTTTCTTTCAGTATGGAGCAGTTCTTCAGCCTTTCTCTGTATTAATAGCATGGCATTTTGAAGATGAACTGGTTTCTTTGTGGAATATTCCTTGGTTTGAGTTTGTCTGATGTTTCTTTGTAATCTATGCGTTTTTGGGAATTCTGTGTTCTCAGTGTATCTTAACAGAAGCCATGTGATGTCAGTTTGAATAAATGTGGTGACAGAAGATATCCAGTGTCGG